TTCTATCCAGACCTGCGAACTGCTCAGGGACTCTGATCTGAGAAACAGACACGTTCACTTCTGACCTGTCCCTCGCACTTCTAGTCCCTGGGACTGAACCATTCACGCGCTCCCAGGTGTAAGGATGGAAGTTAGCATGCTGTGTGGTCTACCTGCAGATACAGATGTGAAAGGTGTGGGGCCTGCTTCAAGTAGGTCAGAATCTTGGGGAGAGACAAACAAAAATGTGTGTTTATGAAACTGCGGGTGAGTGCAGAACTGGAGACACCCTGAGAATGCAGTCGGAGAGCAGGCCGGCCTTTCTCTCAAAAGTGGTAGCGTGAGAAATGGGGGAGAAACAGCCTGGGTGCTTAACCACTAGGCTCCCGGGCTCCTAAGCTGAGTGTGTGATGGGCTTGGGGGGCTGGATGGGCGAGAGGGTTTGGCCAGGCACAGTGGGCACGGCAGGGGCGAGGCGGGAGCCGAGGGCCTCGCTCTGCCCTGTGGTGTGCCCCACACGAGGAAAATGAACTCTGCACTCCCAGCCTCCCAGTACCTTGTGGCCCCATCATTTCATCCGCACAGGTCTGGGGTGCTTCCCCAGTGGGGCACATTTTGAAATCACGCAGGCGTCCTGTGTTCAGGTAAAGAACACGCATGACGTGAGCGGAAATGCCGGCCCCGCTGATGTTTGGTTACATTGGAGGGAATCTTCTTGGGGGAAGAAAAGAGAAGAAGAAAGAAAACGAAGAGCAGCAGCAATGCCAACCACCTCAGTGCTTCTGCTGCTTCTGAAAGGGCTGGGCCACAGCTGCTGTTTGCTGTCACCATCTATGTAGGAACAGGGCAAGTTCTTTTTTTCTTTCTCCAAAAACTAATAAACGCAGCAGTGGGGTTCTGGCCCAGAGCTGTTTCCTGAGACGTGTGCCCCTGAGAGCAGGCACCTCCCTCTTTTCCTTCCCCCCAAGCAGAGGCCCCCCAGGGAAGTGTCCATGCGTGGGCGCTTCGAGAACACAGGGCCACGCAGGAAGCACCAGAGGCCGGCCCAGGTTCCTCCCTCGCTCTGTCAATCGGGAGAAAAATCTTATTTCCACGGAGCCTTTTTCCTAGCGGGTGGCCCTGAGGGGTGTGTCTGGCCTGCAGACAGCCGCTCTCGGTGGGTGTCCTCGAGCTGGGCTTCGGTGTGCCGGTTCCCAGAGCCTTTCCTCT